GGGGGGGGGTGGATTACGGTGGTCGATATAGGCACCAGAGCAGACCCATGAAGAGTTGCACAAAATAAATGTAGATGTTGGCCCACAATGAGTAGTCCCAGGAGAGTGCCCAGGACTTGACAATTTGGGTGTAGGGGACCTGAGGAGCCTGAAGAGCATGTTGGTAGACGGCGTGTACTCTGTGTGCAACATTGGTCCAGTTGTACATGGGGGCGACTTCCCGATGAATGGCCCAAGGATCCCATTGGCCATTGAGTACTTTTTGTATGGCGATGGTGGCGCCGTCGGCTAAGGCTTGTGGATTACATTCCACAAATGATGCCAGGTGGGGTGGAAGTACCTCTGTGACTCCTCCGACGTTGGTGCAGACGACAAGCAAGCCGGTGCAGGCTGCTTCAAGAATACCGATACAGAAAGCCTCCGTAAGACTGGCATTAAGGAAAACATGTCCACATCGTAGAGTCTTCCGGACCTGTTTCTGGCTGAGACCTCCTAAGAGCACTACTCGATCGTATAGACCAAAACGCTCTCTCATTTCTTCCAGTAGTAATTGTTTAGGACCATCTCCACCGATAATGAAACGAACATTATTTTGAAATCGGGAAGCTATGATCGGAATAGCTTGTGCCAGTAGGTCTGTACCCTTTCGGAATGTGAGTCTTCCTATCATTACGACATTAACAACCGATGGGGCAGGATTAATGAAGCCATTATCCGGTATAGATGGGTTAGGTGAAAAGAGCTCGTAATTCAGCGCATTAGGTATAACCGAAATTTTTTTCGGTGGAATACATGCACGTAGACATAGATTCTCCTTGTTGGTATAGCTAACTGAGATACATGCGTCAATCTGGCTTAGAAAGATCTTTAAACACTTATTAACATGTATACTACCAGCATCGGCAAAGCCAAATAGCGAATGATCGGTGAAGATGGCACCGTATCCCAAGTTCTTAGCATGGGCAATACATTCCAAAGTTAACGAAGATGGCGCTTGATGACCGTGTACGATACTAATGCGTTCGCGAACTAATATCTCACGCAGTATCGGAAACGTCCCGATCGGCTGCGCCCAAGTACACTGCTCGTGCATCACTGGCGACGCATAATAATAAGCCTTCACACCGTTAGCCAGATATCGCACACCATGTCGTGCTGACCGGGGTCGTCGGGGGTGCACACGTGAGTGAGAGAACATCACAACACGATAACCCATATTTACTAAACAGTTGCTCAACTGATATATATGTGTCTCAACACCACCGAGACCTGGATACACAAAGTCACTTATCATTAATACACCAATCCCGTCCACTGATGGACTTTCTGATATGCCCACCGTCGACGGTATCTCACTCGGTATACGAGACACGTCACTCGCCGGAGAGTCTGACACATCCCGAGGCTTTTGCAGAGGTCCGAGCCGTAACCGTGCCTCCCTCCCACCAATGTTCATGCTTTGCTTCGCAGTCTCTTGATCGGCACTACCCTTTTCTTCACCAATTCGATCGGACGGGGCACTCTTTTTTTAAATGAACCGCAAGCCGAAGTGCCAACCTTTGTTCCTGGTTGCAGGCGCCGCGGTCGTCGCTGGGGTTATAGGAGGTACGCTGCTAGCACACCCTCACACATTGCCGTGGTTGTTGGAAGTACGGCACCCGCACGCTTCCACACACCATTTACTTTACACACACGGAGTGCTTTCCACCCCAAAAGTGTGTGTACCCCATTGTGTGTCACATCCAGATAGATATTCCCCGCCGCCCAACCCAGACATTTGCTGCAGGCATTTTCTACTACCTCAACAGACCGCAGAACGCAGAGGTTACTGTAGAGTCACCTGTTTCGGCGACGGACTCTCACCTTGGTGAAAAGGTGCCGACCGAAGAGGCCCCATTAGAGAAGGCCCCGGCGGAGGCGGCGTCGGCCCCCGTGAAGAAAGTTGAAATGAGCCGTGAAGAACTGTTGGAAGTTACGGATGAGGTTATCGTAGTTCAGCGGCAGCTCGCTGCTTTGATGACCGAGACTAGCAACCAGATTGTGAATAAGAAACTGACTGGGTACGAAAGCACACACGCACTATGCGACACCTTGAGGCCGCACCGGTGGTTGAATGAGTAGACAGGGTGTTGAATAAATAGGCACACGTTGAATGGATACGCACAGAGGCTGGGAAGGGTAGGACGGATGTATTTTAGAATGAAGGACGTTTACACGTATTTGGAAGGTCGTGAGGTTGAAGATCCAGTGGCGAAGCACGGTTTGACAATGGAGGAGTTCGACAACATGATTTCGAAGTTTTCTGATGACCCCGTAGTGAGCGAGAAAGTACTGGTGATAATGAAAGGGCCTGGTGTGTCAGACGCGGAAGTTACTAGTAATGCGACGGCAATGGACATCCCAACTATATGCAGCATTGTCCGATCCATGCTTGGTGCAATGCAAGACTTAGTTAAGCAACTGCATGTTTTGGAGAAAATGCTGGGATCCAGGTACAAAGGCCACACTGCCTCGTTGGCTGCACAGACTGCCCTCGCTGCCTTCCTAGAGACAGAAGTACACACGACTGCAGAGACGGTGGAGCAAGCTATCCTCCTAAACCAAACGGAGCTCGCAGAAAACGTCGAGTTCCTTAGCTCCTATGCAAACCTGCAAAAGCTCGTTGCGGACTTAGATAACAGCGGAGAACACCCGTACTAGTTTTATCGCAGATCCAAGGGGTCATAGATCGAAAAGTCATAGACCGAAAAGTAATTGACCGCAAAGGTCTTAGACCGCAAAGGTCGTAGACCGCAAATGTCGTAGA